AACAGGGAAGTGAAGGGTTCGCTGTGACCCTGTTTCAGGGAGGATCTGGCCCAAAAAACAGACACACGCTGTCCAGGTATGAAGAGAGGGTGTCTCCCCTCCCTGTGCTCGATGCACATGGTATTTCAGCTGCATTTAAGAGTCCCTTCTCCTGCACAAGGACCTTTTAATGAAAAGAAGAAAAATAAAAAGAGAACACAAACAAACCAACCAGATCCTAAAACTACAGACGAGGATCTGAGTTTTTCAGGTCTCAACTTCTCCCTCCCTAAGCTGACAGTAACCTCAGTGTTGCCTTGATGCATCAGGTTACATTAGTTAAATCACTGACAATTCCATCATTTATATAATGGAATACGATTGCTGTGCTCAGATGAGACAAGTCACAGCAAAAATGCCTAAAAAGAGGTATTTGCCTGACAACCATTTTAAAAAACACTTACAGATTTACATTTTAAAATAAACACGTATCACTCTATATGCAAACACGAAACTATAAACACATCCATACATGCATGCGTGTGTGCACACACACATGTATAATCACATACACATGCTCCTGTGGTTTTCCAGCTAAACTACTGCCATGTGTTGTACGTTATCCCAGGGCACCGAGCAGAAAGGCTGAAAACCCACCTCTGGGCGCAGGGGAGTTCGAAACCAATTTCTCCTGGACCAGAAATCCAGAAAGCCACACTCCATGCACAGGCCCTGGTGCCCACAGCGAGCTTGGCACAGTCCAAGCACAGGCAGGTTCAGCAGCACAGAGCCCCAGAAAACCAGCAAGGACATTTTGTCACCCCTGAGGTTGCACAGCGTTCACAAGATGCTGCCCCCACAAGCCACAGTGCTCTGCGAGTGCCAATACCTGCGTGAGTGATGCAGAATTACACCCCTCTGGGCAGAAGCTCTCCCTTTCATTCCAGTCTCATAGAAGCTGGGTTGTTTCTTTCTTGCACCGTTGAGTATTTCAGTGAAAAAGCTCTTTTGTGCGTAAATAAATATTAGGTGTTGTTTGGGTTTTTTTAAGCAAAGAAAATTCGTAAAATAAAGCAGACAGGATTCATTTATATGAAAAATAGAGGGATTAAACATAGCCAATAAATTACAATAAACTGTCCACAGTGAACAATGCTACCAGATGACCATAATGGAGATCCACTGCTCTTGTGCTTTTATTAAAAGAACAAAGCACTGCAATTAAATGTAAAATCCGGTAATATGTCATCGTACCTTAAGCATCCTTTTCTCATTCATTGAACACTGTCCTCTGATTTAATTGAAGCCTCTGGTCCCTTTGAGACAGCAATAGTCCTTACTCTAGGCCAAGTTTAGCATTTCATTATTTAGTAATCTGAGATGGAGTCATGCTATTGACTCTCAAGCAATCCTCTTTGCTTCTTATAACAAAAAGGATGCCCACAGAAATAATTGATACCACATTCTACTCTCTAGTAAATCGTCCCTTAGTGGATTGTGAAAAGAGGTTTTTGATTTAGACTTAAGAATAACAAAAGTTGGGTATATTTTTCACTGATGACCCCCATATGACATGTCCATAACCCCTTTCACAGCAGGAATGTTGGCCTAAAGGCATTTTAGCAGCTAAAATGAGTGACTAGAGGCTTTCCAGGTTTTGTTATATATATTCGGTATATAAGTGATGCCTTCGTACAGGAAAGTCATTTTTTTCTATAGAACAACTCACTGTAGACCTGATCCGGCCAAGAGCCCGCACTCTCCTGCCTGGTATCAGGCAGCCATCGGTGCTTAGCACCTCGTAAAGGCAATCAGCAGCTTGCAGATTCATTACAGCTTTGCAGGTTGGAAATGGGCTTGAAGCCGCGTGGGGTGTTTTCTTTGTTAGGTGAAACAACCCAGGTGAGTCAGGCAGCGCATCCGAAATAACCCAGGTGAGTCAGGCACCCCCCACGTCCTCTGAGACTGGGAACAGCATTAACCAGTTTCGCAGCTCCAAAACACCCTAATCTTCCAGAAACCTCTGTTCTGCCCCAGCCTTTGGGATTTTCATCCCCCCCTGCTGAAAGTGGTGCTTTGCTCCCTGCAGATGGCCCGGGAAGGGGCGGTGCTGTGGCTGCAGCCCCAGCTCCTCGGCTGGCTGCCCAAGCCACACCGAAGCTGCCCGTGCAGAAGCTCCCCTGGTGACAGTGATGCTGTATGTGCTGTTGCTCCTCTGTCACCTCCCGATCAGCACAGAAACAGCCCCACAGACACCAGCCCGGGCTGTGAGAGAGCTCCAGCCAGACATATCCCGCACATCCTTCCTGCAGAACGCCGCACAGACATGTCCTAAGCCACAGTTGCACCCAGAGAGCTCCCAGTCGGAAGGCTGAACCTACTCTCCTTTCCCATTGGTAACATTATGCTTGAGAAACTGCACAGTGTGACAGCCACCTCCTCCTGCCTTTGGCCAATCTGCAGGGGCACCAAAGCATCCCTCCCTCCCTTCCCTTGCTAACTCCCCCAGCACTTAGTGGTCCTGGAAGGACTTAGTGCCTGGACCCCACTGCCAACCTCCTCTTCACCATCACACAAATGTGCTCCTCATCTTGCACAAAGCATTGTCACACTGTTGCATCAGGACTTGCTGTACCCACAAGAAGGCACCCATCCACCTGTCCTGAAGTCACCAGCACTGTGCTGGGAGCAGCTGCTGGTAGTGGCACCTGCTGTGCCACAGGTAGCACACAGGGTGCAGCAAACGTACTACCTCTGCAGAACCAGTGAAAAGACTCACTTATTGCAGGAGGGGGAGTTAGACAGGCAGAGACCATGTACCAGTTTGTAGGATGGCTTCGACACCCAAGAGAGTAAACTCCTGTAATTCCTCTCGGTGAATGTCTAAGAACAGTTTCCAAGAGGTGACTTGTTGCAGATTCATGGTTGTGCATGTTAAAGGACCAGCACAACACTGAATGTGGGCACATCAAGTCAGTGCTCCCATAGGCTGATGGAAGCCTGCCCTGACCACTCGCTTGGCTTCAACTCACTGGTCCAAACCTGGGGGAAGTTTAAAGCTGTTTTGCATGGAGAAGAGTTGTATAGATGCAGGAGTGCAGCCATGACTTGGACATCAGCCCTCTCACAAGCCAATTCACAGGTCAAACAAAAAAAGACTACCCTGACACCTCTCTGCTTTGGAGCTCTGGCACCCCTTGCTCCCCAGAGTATCAAGAAAAGTGAGTTTTCACTAACTTTGAAAGACCAACACCCGATGGTCAAAAGTGGCCGTTTCCTCTGGAAATCTGCGCCATTGTTACCAGGCAATGCAAGCACAAAGCTAAGCTGGGGAGACCAAGCTCCCCCCAATAAACTTGCATGGTTCCCATTAATATTAATGGTAATTACGCAGGTGTATTGGGAAATAGCCCCCTCGCAGGGCTGCAAATCTCATAGCCCTGACCTACGCCCATAAGCCTGAACTCAAACTCCTCCGTACATAATTCTGTAATCTACTTGGCATGTTAAGCATTTCAAATTAAAAAGTGTCAGGGTCAGAGCCAAAACAATGCATTATATGGGATAAGATTTTAATTCAGCAGGTCCTGGGAGAGACATGGGGAAGGAGGAGAAATTCATGCCAATTATTTTGCATTTTGGGAGAGTTATTTGATTGTAGGACAAGTCCATACCAGGGCACCGTTCAGCGAGTTTTGTTTTGTTTGCTTGCTTCTCTTCTCCCAGTACTCAAATTATCTCCAGGTCCTTAGATCCATTAGACTAATTAATATTAAGAACATATGCATATGCAAATTAGGCCATGGTGCCCATATATTTCACTTTACGTGACAGCTTGAAGTGTAGTTGTGTGAGTCAATCAAATGCCATAAATTTGCTATGCACAAAAGATCATTAATATTAATTGGGGCATGGGCACTGTGCAGTAGCCCATGCCACCATTAGAAATGGACCCCTCACTTTAATTGTTCAGCAAATTCCTTTTTTATTTATTTATTATTTAATTTTAAATCAATACCTATGGCCTGATTAAAATATGTATTTTTTTCCCCAGGTAGTCTTCAGAACAGCATGAGAATTGTATTAAAAAATACAGAGCAGACCTTTTCTAAGACAGATGGCACACAATGAGGTTAAAAAAAGTATCTTGAGATCCAACCAGCAAGAACAAAAAAAAAAATTGCTTGCATTGTTGTTTTCATTATCTTGCTTCTGTCATTTCATGAGCTTTGTATCTTGCAAGGAAAGAAAGAAGGGAGAAAAACTGTGAAATTAATCTTTTGTGCATGGCCTGATAAAGAAGAGACATGCTCAGACAAAAGATAGACTGAGAGAAGGTACCGTGATTGATGACTAAAGTAAAGGTGTCAGAAGAGTATTATGTAAATTACTGGAGGCACAGACCATTTCAGAGAGAATGAGAGGGAGAGGGGAAGCCAGGGAGAGAGAGAAAAAAAGGACTGCAGAGTCGATGTCACCAAGACACTGGTCCCCAAGCGCCAATTTCTTGCCATCTTTCATCTGCTCAGACAAGCTCACCTCACTTTCTATTTGGTTTGCACAATGTAACAAAGGAGGAAAAAACTGTCAACATTAGCATGAATCCAGCCCAAAAGCGGGGTTCGAGCACGCAGCGTCTGAAGTGAGGCAGCGAGACGGCAACTTTAAGGCAGCCTCGGTGCTCGTACGTGTGTCTGTGCGAGGCGGTGGCTCAGAGTCGATCCGCTCTTTTATTTTGTGCCAGAGCAGGGATTCAGACAGACAGGGCCAGGTCTTTCTCTGTGTTACTGCACTGGGCAGAAGGAGAGGGAAGGACAGAGCTCACATCCACCAAACTCTTCCCGGGAAAACCTTTCCTCGCCGCTGGCACGGCCTCATGCGGCGGCTTCCCGGCCATGCTCGCACCAATCCCCTGGCACGCCCCGCTCCATGCTCCAAGGAGTGTGGATGGGCAGAGCTCAGCCAGTGCCTGCCACAAAATTCCAGAAGGGTTCAAGAAAGCACAGCCCAAACCAACTTACATCGAGCAAAGATATGTTTGGTCTCCCGTTCCTTGTCCTTCCGCACAGAACTGCGCCGGGTTTTCACATCCCGAAAGGATGACACAGTTAATAGCAGGGGCAGTAAGAAACCATTTTTGTACTTTTACCTTTTAGGAAAAAAAAAAAAAATCCAAGTTAAAATGCAACAGGCTTTCAGGAATTTTTCCCTTTGTTCCTGACTATATGATTAATCTGGCTCCTGCTTTAAAACCAATTATTACGTATTGTCTTTTGAATTTCACCTCTGACATATCTTTGCCCCTATTTAATTTGATCACTGGCTTTTATTCAAAAACTTCATTTTCCAAGGGAAAAAAAACAACTACAAATGGTCACCTATCACCTCCCTGGTAACAAGCGAAAGGAGCATTCAAGGGGAAGGAAATACTGAATTGGCATTTGATGAAATGCACAGTTCCATGCCGCCCATACTCTTGATACACGAGGCTTAAGGTACACGGTGCCCTCTATAAATTGACTAATTACCCCAATTCCTGCCCTATAGAGTGAATCCCTGGGTTTATAATGGGAAAGCAGAGAGAAGCAAGAGCAGAGAGCTCACCTCCCGTCTCTCTATCCTCTGACAGCTCAGTAAGAGCATCCCTCAGTCTCATCCTGCCCTCTCCCCTTGCTGCTCTTCCCACTGTACTGCCCAGCACTGGAATTTCAAGGGCCATAGCTGAATTTGGGGCAGAGATGGCAATCCCAGCACGGCTCCTGGCAGGAATCACTTCAGTACAGAGCACAAGTGTGCAAATAAAGCTGCTTTCCAACTTCCTTCCTTCAGATTCAATCAGCCATCACATGGCTTTCATTTCGAGTGTTGAGAGACATTAAAATGAGATTTAATAACAAATTGTTTCAATTTTGCATCCCTTCTAAATTCTGTTGGCCAGGCAGGATAGTGCATGGAAAAAGCATTCAGTTTTTCTCATCAAATTTTTCATTTTTCCACTCTATTTTTTTTATTTGTGCATGAGTGCAACAGTTGGAAAAAATTTAAAATCCAAAGAGGCAGCTATTCCTATACCATCAATTTGCCCCTTAAATAGTAAAATGATAAAATGAGTGGAAAAAAAATAGATGTTCTGGGCACCATGCTCTGTGCAAATCAGTTCTTAAAGTATCAGTGAATTCACATTTTAAAGAATACTTTAGTTTGCAAGATTGAAATTCTTTAAAAGAAGAAACTCTCAAAGGAAGTTGTCATTTTAGGCTGCACAAACCAAAACCCTTCCAAAATCAGGTGCTTAGAAAAAAAATTGAAGCACTTTAATAATTTAAATTGCTCCCCTTTGCACATGCCCAGAACCCAAATCCCTTTTCTAGCTGAAGTGCTTATATAAAAATTTGACAGCTCTTATAATTTTAAATTGCTCTACACTGAGTATGCCCAGAACCTCGATCACTTCCAAATTCAAGGGCTTATAAAAATTTGAAGCACTCCAATAATTTTAAATTGCAATGCACAGTGCAGAGTGATTTAAAATTATTGGACTGCTTCAATTTTTTTAAAAGGTCTTCAATTTGGAAGTGAGTCAAGCAGCATTCTAATACAGTAGTTTAAGACATACTGTATTGATGTGAAATTTAACATCTAAAAATAATGAAAATTAAACCGGATACACTGTTTAAAAAGTGAGGACGGTTTTCCCAAACACACCTAGGAAATCCAGAAAACCACAACTTCCGGCTGCTCCGTCCTTCTTTGTGAACGAGGCAAGAGTGAAGAGTAAAGGAGGAGATGCTTGAGACAAAACCACAGAGGTGAGATCAGCTTCCACCCTTGGGCTGGAGGGCAGAAAAGTCCTCTCAGAAGTGCTTGGAGTCATCTCAGAGGGGTGGGAGCTCATGCTGACACATCAGAGTCATGGAAAAGGCTAGACCGGGCCCTTCCGATCCCTCTGGCAGGAAAATGGGTTTAGACTGTTTACAGATCTGCTGGTTTATAGACCAGCACTTTTTTGGATGGTGTTCCTGTTTCCTCTCAATCCATATGCTTTCTACTGGGAACTCACAGCAAGTGTCCCATGCAGGGTTCAAAGCGCTGGCTCCCCACTGCTTGGCTTCATGAAGAATGGAACTACATGATTTCCACTAGGTTTAGTGTTAGGCACTAAAGTCTTTTTGGCAGCTATTTGCTTCCCTTTAAAATCTTTCCCTTTTTTGGAGGTGATTTATATTAATAAACTGTTTTGGATCAGAATTGGCATGATATGTCAAACCCGTGCCTGTTTGGTATTTCTGTTGTGTATGCTGAATTTGAGTGGGGGGAGGGAAGAAGACAACGCTGTTCAGCTCGCTGGGAGTCTTTTTCTGTTCCACACATTCAAGTCCTTCTCAGGAGTCAATTGCAACTGTTAGAGAGTTTCTTTTAAAAAAATCAGTTTTGACATCCTGAAAGATAGGGAACGAAAAGAGACTTGAAGTCACCACATTTTCCACACATTCATGAACATCTGCAATGTAAAATCGTTTCACAACAGGGGCTGGGCTCTATTTCACCTTACAACAAGTTGGAGATCTTGTCTATTTGCAGCTTATTCAGTCTGTTTGATAATAGGAACTTTGGCTGTGAGTTTCATTTTGAAGTTGGGGTCTTGTGGTGTTCTCTGTTGTCTTTTCTTTCTCGCTAAGTTAAACATCACTGAAAATGACAGAAAGAGCCCTTATGCCTCGCTCCTGGCTAATAAAGGAGGCTCATTAAGTTTTGGTTATTATCTATTCCAAAGGAGCATACTTGGACAAAGAGAGAGACAGCACCTAGGGCAGGGCAGGTTCTAATGTGAATTCCTGGAAGAGAGAAACTGTTCAAGAATGGATTAGCTGGAGGGAGTCAAACAAGCACAGGAAGTTTGGGCAGGAAAGCCAAGCAGAGATGTTTTCAGAATACAGGGGTCCCTTTTAAAACTAGGGCCAGCTAAGGAAGAAGGAAGATGACTCTGCAGGAGAGATGAAAGGACCCAGGACTGGGAGGTGAAAGTAGTATAGGAGAACTCCTTAAATATCTGGGATGCTCCCAGCTCCTTGGGAATTCAGGAGGACAGCATGAGCCCCAAAGGGTGGTTTCTCAGATTGCCAGTAGCTTACAGCTCATAGACATGCATGGCAGGACATGACCTCCCTTATAATTTAAGACAGACCGGTAAAAATTTGTTGCAACTTTTCCTTTTATGTTCATGAAGCTTTTTTCTCCCCCCCCTTTTTTTTTATCTGCATCTCTCTGATCAGAATAATTCATTGCATGGGACAGGGTCAGACCAACTTCCCACTGCAGCAGGTTACAGATAAATGGTGTCCTCCCACAGTCCTGCACAACGAACTCGTACTTTTATGCGGTAGAGTCACAATTTATCACATAAAAAGTACCCGCTTTGAAAAAAAAAATGGTGCAAAGAGGTTTTATTCAATAGGCTGTAATGGTGAGCTGTTATGGTCTATCAGGTGGATAATGTGCATCTTAAAATACTGTGTAAATACATATTTCTATAATAGCCTGTTACATTTCCAAAGGAGCCATTGCAGCCTGCATTTGAAGTGAGAAGGAGCTCATAGGAGATGGGCTCTGGTACTTTTTTTCTCCCAGCAGGAGGTGGGCAATGACAATTTTTCCTGAATTAGAGAGGAAAAATATTATTTTCTGATTCAAATGAATAATAAAAAACAATGGAAAGCAGCAGCTAGAGAACTTTGACTGGAAGGAAGGAAGGAAGGTAAGTGTTAATGTGATGAGAGTGCCAAGAGAGCTTTGCTCTCTCCTACAGTCGCCGTATTTCCTTGCTCCCCAACTGAGATGGCAGCATTACATGAATGTTCTCCGTATTTTCTTCCCAAGAGCTGGTAGAATTATTTGTTGTGAGTAACATTCATAGGAGCTTTGATCCTGAAAATGCCTATGTATGAGAGCAGCCAGACACCTGAGAGCAGCGGCTTCTTATATGGCACAAGCATATCCCAAAGTCCTACATATACTGTTGTTAGTGAAAAATAATTATTAATATGATGCCTAACTAAACAGTTTTGCAATAGCTGGGATGGATTATTGGCTGCTTGTGATGTGTGACTGTGATACAAGGCAGGAATAAACTCTTCAGCTCCATGACTGGACAACTGGGAGTTTCAAAGCAACTGATAAAGATCCAAAACTGATACAACACCCAGGAAAACTGGGGTGGAATTCCTGGAATTGGCACTGAACAGAAACAAGCCATGGCTACTGTGGCCACATAAATAAAAACAAGATAGATCAGATGTTTCTGTTTAAAAAAACTACAAGTGAATTAATTTGATTCCCCAAGCCTGCTTCTACCACAGAAGACTAAAAGACTCTGCCCCAGTTTTCCTAAACAATCTGCAGGGACTGGCATGAGCTGATCTGCAACATCAGCCCCTGCTTTTCCCTTTCTCTCCTCTACAAACCACCACACATGACCTTTTGCCATAGGTTGTGCCTCTAAACACAAAGACTCCCAAGCCAGACAGCAATTCACAGCGAGAGCCAACCAACATACTTCCCTTCTCTGCCTATTTCCCAAATTTTGGTATTTACACTCTGTGCCATCCCTCACACACAGCACATATATAATCCTTTATTGTAGTGCTGGAAAAGGATTCTCTATTATTTGCAATTATTTCCTAATTTGGCCAATATGAGAGGTTATTGCTGCTGAAAAGAATGAATAAAAGCATATCTGAGGCAAAAAAAGTGCTAGTAGTAAAGTTTAAAAAGAGCACAGATGAAGATTAATAACCTCAGCAGTCAGGGCCTGGAGTACTTAAAACAAGTAAAAAGACATTACAGAGCAGGAGAATGGAGCCAGCAGGAACTTTTGTTATGACACCCAATGCCACATGCAACTCCTCAGGTCACTCAGTGCTAACTCTGTGAGCACTCCCAGCAAACCCACCCCGACGTCAAGGAAACAGGGTTGATTTATAACTTTTTTTTTTTTTTTTTGCCCCTCACAAAGCTTTAGATGAACATGTTTGCTGACTTATCTGAGAGTCAAAGGGAAATTTAGGGAGTATGAGCTCACAGATATTGGAAGCCTGCAGGGGAAAAAAAATTCAG